TTCCGCCCTTCGGAACAAGAGAAAAAAATCCGAACCTTTACGGTTCATAGCGACTTCACTATTCATGCGGCCCAAACACTTAGGGTTAAGATCCCTTATCGTAAAGTAAAGATGTATGACCTTTTCCCACGCTTTCAGGCGTATGGGGCATATAGGGCTAGACCTATGTTTTGCATGTCACTCTATGACGAGCTGGTCTGGACAGCTGTTTCTGTCCTTTTAAGTATTGCTTTGCATTAGCAATTTTATTAAATTGTCTTACCTTTTACTTATTGCTTTATTATAGCAATATTATTAATTCATTAATTAAGAGTTGAAAGGTAATAAAGGCGAAGAGTAGGCAAGGGGTAACTCAAGAGTTACTTCCCCCTTTCTAGGACCTCCTACTTTCATTTTCATACCAGGCACGATTGGGGCCATAAAGTAAAGGTTTATGACCTTTTCCCACGCTTTCAGGCGTATGGGGCATATAGGGCTAGACCTATGTTTTGCATGCCACTATGGATGATATAGTCAACAACACACAGACCGCCTTTACTTGGCATGAATTTATCTGGTACCATTAGGGCTGGAATGACCTTGAGGTAAGGTCATTTCTGAAGAAAACAAAAACGTCTAGCTCCATCAGGATCCGAACCCGCGACCTTCGTATCCGCAGTCTAGCGTCAGGCCGCTTTGGTGGATAGCACACCCATGCATAGATACCATTTGCAATTGCTAGAAAACTGTTTTTTAGTAGGCTGAGACCCTTCAAAAGAAAACTAGTCACCTGTGAGATGAGATGTTTGAGACTGGCTGTGAATAAAACCAGAAGAGATTGAGTGAGAAATGACGTAATCACAAGAACTGATGAAACAACACCCATCGTCAAATTTATTGAGAAACAAAGAATGAAATGGTTTGGCCTTCTAATGAGAATGAAGCCAAGGATGCCGACAGCAAGAGCGTACAGCCTGAAAATCGAAACATCAAAAGGCAGGCGAAGACCCAGAAGAACATAGATTTAAGGAGTCACTGACACCTTGAGACTGCATAACATCACGGCATATCAAGCGACTGAGCGCGTCTTGGCTCGGCAGCCGATCGTCTGATGAACTGCCAAGGCTAGCAGATATTGTCAAAAGAAGAAGAAGAAGACCCTTCGCGCCCCCACCCCCATCCTCTATTTTTGCGTTCGTTCTCCCTGTCAATGGTTTTCAAATGAGAAAACACAAGTTTCTAGGAAGTCCATGGTGCAAGGGATGTCTCTCACTCTTTCCAACAGCTAGGTTTCCATTGGAATGCCAGCTGGCTAAACATGGGATCTCTCTAATGTAGGAATGAATGAATAAATGAATCAAGCACTGACATGACCACACTGCGGACATTCCCACGCGGGCTTCGACTCCCTACCTCTACATTAGCCAACTAAGGTCGACATGTTAATAGTACCAGTTGATACCTGATTAAAGGTCCTATATTCCCCTCCTTAGTTGATCTCTACCCCCCCCCCCCACACACACACACACACTACACACCTGTGCGAATTCAATAATAATGAAGAAATGAAAGAAATGTCTGTATTCACAAAACTTACTCGCTCACAAAAGGCCTTTTTGACACTTTATTTATCAAAAAAAAAAAAAAAAAAAAACAATCTGATTAAGGGTCAATGAATTAGTTAAATAAAAAAATTAATGTTTATGCACCCGTAGCAAAGTTTGTTGTAAAAAAAATTATTTAAAAAAAATTTAATGGGAGGCAACCAAAATTATCTTTGACACTAAAATCACTACAATTATTTTTCTTCAATACTAAGTAAAGAAGATACCAACACAACTGCTAGCATTCTAGAACCATTGTTCAAGGATATTTGGGAAAAAGAAGTGTTGCCTGATGACTGGACTGAAGGAACAATAGTCAAAATCCCAAAAAAAGGAGACTTAACTGACAGCAATAATTGGAGGAGAATTACTCTACTCTCAGTACCAAGCAAAATATTTTGTTATATCATCATAATGCGGCTTGAAAAAGGAGTAGACAAATGCCTACGAGTGGAACAGGCAGGATTCAGAAAGGGTAAGGGAACAACTGAGCACATCTTCGCCATACGTAACATTTGAGAACAATGCAATGAATGGCAGAGAAGTATATATATATTAATATTGTGGACTTTGAGAAAGCTCTTGACAGCGTCCATAGAGACGGTCTATGGAAAATTTTACGACATTATGTAATTCCAGAAAAAATAGTCAACATAGTTGCTCTCTTCTATAAAGACTTATTACAATACATCTTTCCCAGTAAAGACAGGTGTAAGACAGGGATGTGTTATGTCATCTCTTCTCTTCAACCTTATGATTGATTGGATACTAAAGAACACAGTAGACAGGACATTGAGAGGCATACGATGGACTCCATTCACCATGCTTGAGAATCCTGATTTTGCAGATGACAAAGCACTCTTATCACATAAACATGAACATATACAAGAAAAAAGTAACAGACTACACAGCACAGCAGAAATGGTGGGATTGAGAATAAATACAAAGAAAACTAAGATCATGACAAGCAGTCCAAACCAACAACCAGTGACCATAAATAACCAAAAACTTGAAAACGTAGAACATTTCACATATCTTGGCTGTGTGGTGTCCCTACGGGGAGGGACCGAAGAGGACATTCATTCATGTCTGAACAAAGCTAGAGCTGCTTTTGGAAGGATGAGGCAAATCTGGAAATCCAACAATTACTGCTGAGGAACGAAACTCCGACTCTACAAGAGCATCATTTTGCCAGTTCTTCTTTATGGAACGGAATGCTAGAGAATGACCAAAAAGGATGCACACAAGCTGTCCACCTTCCACCACACATGTCTACGTAGAATTATCACAATTTTCTGGCCAGATACAATCTCAAACAAACTACTTCAAGTCACAAACCAAGAAATTTTGGACAGTATGATAACCAAGAACAGATGGAAATGGCTTGGCCACGTTATGAGAATGCATCCTGATTTACCTGCCAAAACAGCTCTCACATGGACACCAGAGAGAAAGAGAAAACAGTGGCGCCCAACAATGGAAAGTGACCTGAGTGCGGCATCTTTAACATGGAAAACTGCACTGAAGATTGCACAGGACAGGAAAGCATGGAAAGTCCTCTCTAAAGCCTCATGTGCCACTAGGCATAACGAGAACTGATGATGAAGTAAAGTAAAAGTCAAGGATATTTTCCCACGCCTTTAGGCGAAAAGGGCATACAGGGCTAGACCTATATTTTTATAGACTAGTTGGCACAGGATGGCTGATGTGGTCAACATCAAGCTGGCCGCCTTTACTTCCCAGGACTGCACCCGGTACCCATTCAAGACTGGGTCGACCTGGGAGCCAAGGTCATTTTTGAAAAAAGTCCGGCTTCTCCAGGGAGCGAACACTTACGATCTACGGCGAGCGTCTAGCCGCTCCGCCACGGGGACTCTACTTCCATACTAATAGTTATTTAATGTAGTCAGCAAAAATCATACGGATTACATGCGGAGGTCCAATCACCATCTGTTATTCGCATTTTAAAAACTATGAATGCATTGCCATCACTGCACTTGAAACATTCCCACATGTGCGAAGTCCTCTTTTTCAGTAGCCAACGAAGAGTTGCTGATAGTTTCAGGTGCAGCCTAATTAGAAGTACGCCTATTGTTCCATATCAATCCCCCTCCCTCCCCACCAACCGTCTGTTTAATTAGTTTTTCAGTGTGTAGATTCTGTGTCTGTTTATTTGCGCTGTCCATGTGATACCAGATGGCCTTCACTGCATCTGCTTTATAATAAAATAGTTAGCCCATGGAAAAACAGCAGCCACTCTATCAGCTTGCTCGTTATCTAACACAGCTGCATCTTCCATGATGTGCTCCGGAATTATACAAATATCTAATTATTTATTATTTGGACTTTAACAACTGTAAGCATGTGTAATCATCGCCAGTTATTTTGATTTTGTAAAATATGTGTAGGTAAAACCGCCAGAAATCGTTTGGATTAAACTTAAGTATTAAGGTATGATCAACCGGAAGTAAAATTATAATATATATATATATATATATATATATATATATATATATATATATATATATATATATATATATATATATGTTTAATCCCTGTGCACACAAGTAATGTACATGGAAACCAAGTGCAAGAACACAATATAAGTATCATCAATGAATGATGCCGATGACTAGACATTGATAGCAGATACAACCACGGAACTGAAACAATATGTACCACCCATGGGTGAAGAATGAAAAGCAAATAATATTAGAAACAACACTCAAAAGGCCAAATTATTCTCAGTAGCTAAAAAAAAGAACTTACATACACCAAAAGAGTGCAACGGCATTGAACAGTCGAGTCTAAATATATATATATATATGTGTGTGTGTGTGTGTGTGTGTATATATGTGTGTATATATATATATATATTAGGGCTGAATACGAATACGAAAAGTGTATTATCATCACCAGGTGCATTGCCGACTGTCGTGGGCGAATATGCCTCGCCACAATCTGCCATCTATTGCAGCATGTATTAGTTCGTATGCTGAGACATCTCCATGCCATGCAACAAGACTGTCAAGAATCTTCTCTCGTTGTCTATCCGTTCTTCCACAGATCTTTCCAGTGGTCACCACTTGTTCCATTTTCCTTCTTCTAATGTGTCGTATATGGCTCAGAGAAACAGCTACAAGAAAATGAGGCCTTGTTGCAAACTTTTCCGAACAGTCTTTCGACGAACAGTTAGCGTCAATTAAAAATGCAAGCAACATAGATCGGATAGTAAGAAGGAAGAACAACATCAATAATATATGATTTAGCACATGTTTATCGTATTTTTAGACTGTATTTTAGAGTTTAGTTGTTTTTTAGTACGCCAGAGTATTTGGATTTTGCACTCAAGTACCTGTGTGTTTCCCATCTTGTGATATCCATTGTATAGACAGTGGAGGGAAATGCTTTTTTATTTTATTGTGATGAGCTTTGTTGTGTTCTCCTCCAAACACATAAAATGATATAACCAATAAGACATCCACTTAGAAAGACGAGCAGATAAACAAAGAATTTGAAGATGTTATAGCTCTTCATTAATGGTTCCTTTTCGTTGTTTGAAAACTGTGTGGTTCCGCTGAAGGCAAACGTGGAGGGTCTGCTGACGGTAGGCGTGACCTTGTCTGTAGAGAAAAAGCTTTTCATGGTCGATAGAAGTGGGTACTGTCCTTCACCGCACATCTGTGTGGAGAAACACAAAACAACAACAACGTGAAATCACCGCACGGTATGTCCTTTACTATAAGTTTGCGTTCAAATCCGAATAACAAAATCATATTGTCCTTGGCCCCACATCTCTGTGCAGAGTTATCACAATACAGTACTGTCCCCTATTTCCCATCTGTGTAAAGATATTGTACAAGGTCCGAAAATTAAGTAAAACGACTAATTCTATTTACATTCAGATAATCAACAGTTAAAGATTTAACCTGTATCTGATTCTAAGTAAGCTCCTTGTGCAAGTGACATAATATAACAAACACTGGAACGACCTCTGTAGCTCTTCAGTTGTTATAACCCCTAAAGTCAACGTTATGGCCCTTTGGATGCCATCAATATCGTTAAAGAAGCATCTTTTCAATCGTATCTTCATTTTGGGAACAGAAAATAATCCCAGGGAGACAAATCTGGGGAATAGGGTGGATGGTTAAGATCACACACATGTAAGTAAAGTAAAAAAAAAAAAAATTTTTCACGCCTTAGGCGCATCAGGCACATGGGAAGAGCGTCCTATATGAGTAATATTGTCAGCATTACGCCGGCCGTCTTTACTTCCCTAGGACAGCCATCCTGGTACCCCTTTTTGGCAAGGTCGACCTGCGACGCCCTATACCGTGACAAAAATCCACGCAGTCAGCAGTGAGTGTCGATCGCGGTACGTTGGAATTACGAGTCAGACTCGCAACGCCTAAGCCACGGACGCCACACACTTGTTTTTTGACCAACAATTCTTGTTTTGATGATGTCTCTTGTGTACTCAACCCGCTGATGTTTGTGGTCATCAGACAACGAATGTGGTACAAACCGGCAAGCGACTTTTTTCTTGCTAAAATATGTGCACTAAAATGTTATGTATGGTCTCTCTGTTAACACCAGATTCATCCACCATCGTCCTCACAGTAAAACAATAATCTTCATGTATCTGTTCTCCGACTTTTGCAATGAGTTTATCATTACTAAAAGAAATTTGACATCCAGTTCTAGGTGCATTAGTAATCATTTCCACACCACTTTTGAACCGTGAATACCACCTGAAAATTTGTGCACGAGATAAACAATTATCCCTAAAAACTTTTTGCATCAATTCAACCATTTTAATGGCGCTTGGTCTGAGTTTTAAACATAATTTAATGTTAGCTTTTTTGCTCCTTGGCTACACCACAGCAGCGGTAAATAGGATTAGCTATAGATATACCGCACATATGCAATACCATAGAGAGGATTAGCTATAGATATACCGCACATATGCAATGCCATAGAGAGGATTAGCTATAGATATACCGCACATATGCAATGCCATAGAGAGGATTAGCTATAGATATACCGCACATATGCAATACCATAGAGAGGATTAGCTATAGATATACCGCAAATATGCAATGTCAAAGAGAGGATTAGCTATAGATATACCGCACATATGCAATACCATAGAGAGGATTAGCTATAGATATCCCGCACATATGCAATGCCATAGAGAGGATTAGCTTTAAATATACCATACAGTTGTAATTTCATAGAGAGGATAAGCTTTAGATATACCACACACTTTCCAGGTATCTAGGGGATATGCTGATTCATGTCAGACCCCAACACAACAACACAGGGGATGAACCATGGCCGCCTACTCTCATTGGCACGACACATGCTGATGGTGATTATAACTGAAGTAGCGGAGGGCTAACTCTGACTGTCGGCTCTGTGGCTAAGTCGATGCGAACGCTTCGCTTCGTAATGCCGGGATGCCGGGATCGATCCCAGCTGCGGGCAATGCGCCTTGTGTTGGTTTCGACAGTGGTATCAAGAAAGCCGACCGTCCAGAAAGTATTGGCAAACTACTGGACGCAAATTTGCCTAGAGAAACCACACAACAGTCAGGGGATGTTAGGGTTGGTTCTGCAACGTCCTGTAAAGGATACGCAACAACCTTTTTTTAAACTCTGACTAGGAGAAACCACAATAAGTCAGGCACAAGGAACATGTCCTATCGTTTCATTATTATGGACGAACACTTTGCGATGAAGATGAATTAGGGATCAACGACTCACTGTCAGCTCACTCTCTCATCGCTGCTTGCTGAAGATGACATCAAGCGAAGAGCACCTGCTCCGTAGCTCCGGCGACAATTATTATTAAATGGAAATGAAAACATCTATTCTCAGGTGCCTCATGAACTCTCTGGAGAGAATGAGGCATCCAGGTGTCACCAGAGGGTCTGGCCGGCTAACTACACTCAAAGAAAAGGCAGAACGGAAACGTAACTAGATTGTGACTGGTATCATCAGTATTGAAACTCTGCGCGGGCTGCTGAAATGAGGACAATGCATTTATGGGAATGCCCTGAGTGCTGTGATGTCATTTCTTTACTCAACTCAACTTAATTGTCAGCTCACTACAGCCTGCCAAATACTCGCATCGGCAGTTTCTCCACATATGGACAAAAGATGCCAGCCAACTACGTACATAATGCCTGCTATAGGCGACTCAGGCCTGATCGCGCAGATATATGTGATGCGCAGTGACAGTCCTCTGATGGTTCTTCCTCCAAAAGACCCCTCCGGCCGAGGACCTAAGGTCTGCTATCTAGTCATTCAATGAATTATCACTGAAAAACATCCAGTAAAGGGGTCACTACACGGTTTTTTTTTTTTTTTTTATTTGTGACAAAAACATCACTCCTTTAGTGTTTTCGTTTCTGTAAAGCTCGACATTCGTACAATAGATTACATACACGATTTATGTAACTTGTAAACAATTTAGCTTTGAAAAGTTAACACTAAAGACACCACCCCATGTATTTTTTTAGGATACAAAAAATTGTGTACCACAAAATAGCAATGTATGACACACAGCAACAGCTGTTTCGAAATATTATAATAGGGCGTATTATATAACATTTTTATCGCCGTCCACATATCTTTTCAAATCTCTATATGCGAAAGCACAAAACAGCTTTTCTGACGATATACGAAACTAAGAAACACATGACTATACCAACATTTCATTGGCTCTATTATTTGGCAGCATTTGATTGGTCCCTATTAGACATTTCCTTCACTCCGAATATTCTACGCATGAGCAGAGCTGGGTTTTTTCCAATGTTGTTTCATTTCTAACGCAATCTGAAGTTCTGACGCCGGTGTTTTCGTTAAAATTATTATACACGCTGTTATTATCACACACAAAAAAAATGTGTTATCTTTGGACAAAGACCATGGTGACATGACAGCAAGCTTTTCATGAACTTGAAACGACATGTCTTCCACAACTCTTAAGTGGCTCATACTCCACTCTCTTCCAGTCGCTCTCAATGTTTACATTTACAACCCGTTAGCATAGCATGAATGTCCGTGTGTGTCCATGCTCCACAAAGCCCTGGCTTCATTAACTCTTCATACCCGCACACAACACACCGTCCAAAAGCGGTAAATACAGCAGAATTTCATTTCCGTTGTTTCGACCTTTCATTGTCCTTTTGATTATAAAGTGAATGCGAGGCAGCAGTACCGCAAACTTTTTGTTTGTTTGTTAAATAGTCTATTACATTTCTGTCGATAACAGTTTCGTTTATCTGAAATGGAAATACTTCGGCAATAATCGGGGCCATATTTCGGCTATGTGACACATGTATTGCTGCACAGGGCGGCAACATCTTGTCTGTGTGATTTCAGCACTACATTGCTGACAGGGCGGAAATATCTTGTCTGTTTGATTCCGGCACTACATTGCTGCACAGGGCGGCAACATCTTGTCTATGTGATTCCGGCAGTACATTGCTGCACAGGGCGGCAACATCTTGTCTATGTGATTCCGGCAGTACATTGCTGCACAGGGCGGCAACATCTTGTCTATGTGATTCCGGCAGTACATTGCTGCACAGGGCGGCAACATCTTGTCTGTGTGATTCCGGCAGTACATTGCTGCACAGGGCGGCAACATCTTGTCTGTGTGATTCCGGCACTACATTGCTGCACAGGGCGGCAACATCTTGTCTGTGTGATTCCGGCACTACATTGCTGCACAGGGCGGCAACATCTTGTCTATGTGATTCCGGCACTACATTGCTGCACAGGGCGGCAACATCTTGTCTATGTGATTCCGGCACTACATTGCTGCACAGGGCGGCAACATCTTGTCTATGTGATTCCGGCAGTACATTGCTGCACAGGGCGGCAACATCTTGTCTATGTGATTCCGGCACTACATTGCTGCACAGGGCGGCAACATCTTGTCTATGTGATTCCGGCAGTACATTGCTGCACAGGGCGGCAACATCTTGTCTATGTGATTCCGGCAGTACATTGCTGCACAGGGCGGCAACATCTTGTCTATGTGATTCCGGCAGTACATTGCTGCACAGGGCGGCAACATTTTGTCTGTGTGATATCGGCACAACGTTGCTGCACAGGGTGGCAACATCTTGTCTATGTGATTCCGGCACTATATTGCTGCACAGGGTGGCAACATCTTGACTATGTGATTCAGGCACTACATTGGTGCACATCTGTTCTAGCCTCTAAACAGCAAAAGATGATGTATTAGCTGAAAACTTTTCGTTTGTGACACATAATCTCATTAATTTCTATCTACAATTGTGTCTGCTGTCAGATGGTACGCGAAAACGATTTCCTCTGGTTTGCTGGTAAGCCGGTGTTATAAATATATACAATTAATAAAAAGAAAAAAAAATTAAGAACAATGATACAGGGTCAATAGGTGAACAACCTCCTGAGAAACCCTGAATATTATTGTACCATCAAAACCCACCGTTCCAGTAAAATCGTCTTCATCAAGGCCAGAAAACATGAGGCCAGCTACTCCCAATTGGCTGCACCATTCAGCCTGAAAGGGAAAACAATCATGAGCCTTTAGTACACATTTAATTCCCCCCCCCCCCCCCCCCCCTCAACACCATAAAATTATCACAGCAAAGACGAGTTAATAAGTGAAAGCACCCGAGAGATGGCAGTAGCAATCACACACTAGGCGTAAACAGACTTTAGCTGAAGATTCTTCAGACTAAGAGCGGCAAGTTGTAAAATCAGAGCAGGCATCCATCGAAAGGGTCTTGTTAGCTCTGACACATGTGGTCGCACAGAGCAAACTCCGAGGTTTGTCAAACATGACTTCCCGAGCACAGACAGCTGGACAGAGGGATTTGGAGCAAGGCGCCACCCTGCAAGAAAAAGAATAGTACACCAGTGCAGATTTTAGTGGCAACGTCCGTTTTTGCAACCTATGTGGGCATAGATAAAAATCAAATATCTATCATTGAAGAAGAACAAAAAAGACAAAAAGAAGAAGAAGAAGAAGAAGAAGAAGAAGAAGAAGAAGAAGAAGAAGAAGAAGAAGAAGAAGAAGAAGAAGAAGAAGAAAAGAAGAAGAAGAAGAAGAAGAAGAAGAAGAAGAAGAAGAAGAAGAAGAAGAAGAAGAAGAAGAAGAAGAAGAAAAAGAAGAAGAAGAAAAAGAAGAAGAAAAGGTCGAAAAAGAAGAAGAAGCAACAGAAGAAGAACAACAAGAAGAAGAAAAATGAAAAGGAAGCAGAAGAAGAACAGGAAGCAGGAGAAGAAGAAGAAGAAGAAGAAGAAGAAGAAGAAGAAGAAGAAGAAGAAGAAGAAGAAGAAGAAGAAGAAGAAGAACAAGAACAAGAACAAGAACAAGAACAAGAACAAGAAGATAAAGATAAAGAAGAAGAGGAGGATGAGGAAGTAAAGAAGGAGGTTAGGGAGGAGAAAAAGGATATATTAAAAAAAAGAAACACGGAAACATAACTTGCTTCAACATAAATTACTTTAATCTTGAGGCTTTCACGATCATCGTAACCGACCCACGTTGTGCCCTTGACCAAGAAAGGGCTCTTGCGAAAGCTGTCGAAGTATCTATTGGAGGTGTTCCTCATGAGGCAGATCTGTAGACATTAATCTAAGTTGTAGATCGTAACTTCCTGTTTAATGGTTTATAAAGACACCGGCCGAAAGGTTCAGTTGTGTCTCTGCGTCTTCTTCATCTACCCTCGATGCGAGTGAAGTCCTAGCTTGAGTTTTGTCAGTCTAAGTTTTTTTTTTTTTTTTTTTGGTAATCAAATGCAACATTTGAAAATGCATTTATTTTGAATTGGAAATTGTCATTAGGCTGCAGGGCAACATAAAACCAGTTGTAGTTGGGTTGCAAGTGTCGACATGGGGGTGTTCAAAATGGAGTCAACACATGCGTTGTTCAGGGCATAATCTCTGCCAAACTGTCAATTACTGCCTTTATTTCACACATTTTTCGGTGTAGGAAGTGGGTCTTTGAGCCTCAGGAATTACAGCCGCATGGCTAGTGCTGTCGTCACGACTGTGCAGGTGAGGATTTTATTTTGCCCAGAAACAAATCATCAGCCTTACTGAGGATTCGAACCTGGGTCTCCCGCTTGATAGCACAGCCTTCTAACCGTTCGGCCAGCCGCTCCTCTGGCATAATCTTCAACACATTATACATTTTTTGTACGTACCCTCACCCACACCTATGGTGTACATAACTTTTCCCATACCTATGGTGTACAAATCCTTACCAACACTTATGGAGTAATAACCTCAAACACACCTATGGTGTACATATCCTCACCCACACTTATGGTGTACATATCCTTACCAATACCTATGGTGTACATAACCTCACCCACACCTATGGTGTACATAACCTCACCCACACCTATGGTGTACATAACCTCACCCACACCTATGGTGTACATAACCTCACCCACACCTATGGTGTACATAACCTCACCCACACCTATGGTGTACATAACCTCACCCACACCTATGGTGTACATAACCTCACCCACACCTATGGTGTACATACCCTTACCAATACCTATGGTGTACATAACCTCACCCACACCTATGGTGTACATAGCCTCACCCACACCTATGGTGTACATATCCTTACCCACACTTATGGTGTACATAACCTTACCCACACCTATGGTGTACATAGCCTCACCCACACCTATGGTGTACATAGCCTCACCCACACCTATGGTGTACATATCCTTACCCACACCTATGGTGTACATAACCTTAACCACACCTATGGTGTACATAACCTTACCCACACCTATGGTGTACATAACCTTACCCACACCTATGGTGTACATAACCTCACCCACACCTATGGTGTACGTATCCTTACCCACACTTATGGTGTACATAACCTTACCCACACCTATGGTGTACATAACCTTAACCACACCTATGGTGTACATAACATTACCAACACCTATGGTGTACATATCCTCACCCACACCTATTTTGTACATAACATCACTCACGCCTATGGTGTACATAACCTAACCCACACCTATGGTGTACATAACCTCACCCACACCTATGGTGTACATACCCTTACCAATACTTATGGTGTACATAACCTCACCCACACCTATGGTGTACATAGCCTCACCCACACCTATGGTGTACATATCCTTACCCACACTTATGGTGTACATAACCTTACCCACACCTATGGTGTACATAGCCTCACCCACACCTATGGTGTACATAGCCTCACCCACACCTATGGTGTACATATCCTTACCCACACCTATGGTGTACATAACTTTACCCACACCTATGGTGTACATAACATTACCAACACCTATGGTGTACATATCTTCACCCACACCTATGGTGTACATAACCTTACCCACACTTATGGTGTACATAACCTTACCCACACCTATGGTGTACATAACCTCACCCACACCTATGGTGTACGTATCCTTACCCACACTTATGGTGTACATAACCTTACCCACACCTATGGTGTACATAACCTTAACCACACCTATGGTGTACATAACATTACCAACACCTATGGTGTACATATCCTCACCCACACCTATGGTGTACATAATCTCACCCACACCTATGGTGTACATAAACTTACCAACACTTATGTTGTACATAACCTCACCCACACCTATGGTGTACATATCCTTACCAACACATATAGTGTACATAATCTCACCCACACCTATGGTGTACATATCCTTACCAACACCTATGGTGTACATAATCTCACCCACACCTATGGTGTACATAACCTCACCCACACCTATGGTGTACATAACATTACCATCACCCTATGGTTTACATAACCTTACCCACACCTATGGTGTACATAACATTACCCACACTTATAGTGTACATAACCTCACCCACACCTATGGTGAATAACATTACCAACACTTATGGTGTACATAACATTACCAACACTTATGGTGTACATAACATTACCAACACTTATGGTGTACATAACATTACCAACACCTATGGTGTACATAACATTACCAACACCTATGGTGTACATAACATTACCAACACTTATGGTGTACATAACATTACCCACACTTATGGTGTACATAACATTACCCACACTTATGGTGTACATAACATTACCTACACTTATGGTGTACATAACATTACCCACACTTATGGTGTACATAACATTACCCACACTTATGGTGTACATAACATTACCAACACCTATGGTTTACATAACATTACCAACACTTATGGTGTACATAACTTTACCAACACTTATGGTGTACATAACATTACCAACACTTATGGTGTTCATAACATTACCAACACCTATGGTTTACATAACATTACCAACACTTATGGTGTACATAACATTACCTACACTTATGGTGTACATAACATTACCAACACTTATGGTGTACATAACATTACCAACACTTATGGTGTACATAACATTACCAACACCTATGGTTTACATAACATTACCAACACCTATGGTGTACATAACATTACCCACACTTATGGTGTGCATAACATTACCAACACCTATGGTTTACATAACATTACCAACACCTATGGTGTACATAACATTACCAACACTTATGGTGTACATAACATTACCAACACTTATGGTGTACATAACATTACCAACACTTATGGTTTACACAACATTACCCACACTTATGGTGTACATAACATTACCAACACCTATGGTGTACATAACATTACCAACACTTATGGTGTACATAACATTACCAACACTTATGGTTTACATAACATTACCAACACTTATGGTGTACATAACCTCACACACACTTATGGTGTACATAACATTACCAAAACCCATGGTGTACATATCATTACGAAAACCTATTGTGTACATCACATTACCAACAGCTATGGTGTACATAACCTCACCCACACCTATGGTGTACTTATCCTCACCCACACCTATGGTGTACTTATCCTCACCCACACCTATGGTGTACTTATCCTCACCCACACCTATGGTGTACTTATCCTCACCCCCACCTATTGTGTATATAACCTTCCCCTGCACCTATGGTGTACTTATCCTCACCCACAGCTATTGTGTACATAATCTCACCCAAACCTATTGTGTACATATCCTCCCCCACACCTATTGTGTACATAACCTCACCTCTGGGTAGGCCAAGCCGGAAGATAAGTTATAGAGAGGGCCACGAAGTGTCCTGGATGTGACTGGAGCTTCAGGATAAAAGTCGGACTCATTGACCAGTTCCAGAAGTCGACCTACCCCAGTGAAACCAACGATTATTTTACTGAACGGCATACCGAGCTGGTTCCAGACAAGAAGTGATCTATTCTGAAAGGAGTTCCAACAATACAATAATCTATATATTTTTTTAACGTTTCTTTTTTTCTTAACAATTCTCATCGTCATCAATAAACAGAATGTCATGTTTCGCCATCTAAACAATCACTAGAACCACAGATACACGATGAGTACAATCACTAGAACCACAGATACACGATGAGTACAATCACTAGAACCACAGATACACGATGAGTACAATCACTAGAACCACAGATACACGATGAGTACAATCACTAGAACCACAGATACACGATGAGTACAATCACTAGAACCACAGATACACGATGAGTACAATCACTAGAACCACAGATACACGATGAGTACAATCACTAGAACCACAGATACACGATGAGTACAATCACTAGAACCACAGATACACGATGAGTACAATCCCCCAATCCTATCCTCCAGAAAACCCTCGAGTTCGGCACCCCACAAGGTATAACGATCCTCATCGCCGAACATTTAGGTCTCAAAATGTGAGCTGGGTGTTCCAGAGATATGGTAGTTACATACACCAAAGCCTATCTACCAACAAAAAGCGACACAGTCAAATGTCTGATTCAAACACAGTGGGAGACACAACACGGAATGTTGACTTCACCCCCCATGATGCGCCCATTGATCTGTAAAAGCATGCACGTCACCGCTACATGCCCAAACAGCCCTTGTTACAGGAAGAGAACGACAAGACCACTATGCTCACAAGCGGAATTTTTTTTTTTCTTACCAAACTCAAAATCTATTTTTGTATTTTTGGCACACTAAAATACTCAAAATTTTAAAACTGTAAATGGTGGTGCAAAGGACGCTGTATGGATACGGAAAGCTCGATCTCCTAAGAGACGCTCTTGGCTAAATCAGTTGGAGCTGAAACCAAGGAGAAAACTGCAGGAATGAGAGGGCAGGAAGAAAATAGTTGAAAACCTTATGAAAGTGCGGTCTGATTTGAATGCAGGACGGATTAGACCCAGTGAAGGCACAAGCACCAGAACTTTAATCACGAAAGCGGCGCAAATAAACCAGACCACAAATATAGCCGGAGACTGTTGGCAGCTTCGACTAGCTAATAGCAGGTTGAACGTGGCCAAACTTTTGAATTTTCTCAAAAGGAATCGGAATCAGAATGCATACTGTGGTCAGCGTGGCCCAGTTAGCCTTCACTTGCCATGTAATCTCCAATACCTGTTTCTGGCTGCGTGAAGCTAAGAGCCCGAGTTCAGTTAGACAAATCTTTCCTGATACGGTTTTGAACCCAACACCTTTGCATCGACAGGCTGAATGTAAAGAAACTACACGTCAAATATCTACCTATGGCCCTGGTAATCTGGTAATCCTTGTTTCAGCTTCATAGCAAACGGATCAGCCCATAGTTGCTCCGCCCCTGTGCCAACGAAAAACACACGTAGCTCACAGTGTTACGCCATGCACTAAACTATTGCCCTGTCACACCGTAGACATTGAAAGTAAAACAACAGATGACGAATTCTTTTTTTGTTTTGTTTTTCAACAGCCAGTGGTGTATCAGGAATATGATACTACATAAATATTTGTACAGATCAATGGGCCCACCATGGGGGATAGAGTTAACATTCCGAGTTGTTAATCGTTCACTCCATCATTTTTGTTCCCCATTTCAGTACTTATGTAATGATTTTCTGCTTATCTTTATGATGTGCCGAATGTATCACCATTTGATTAGTTAGTTACACTATAGATTATTCTCACCGCATTTTGAACCATTCAGTCCAAAAGTGCTCGGATAAAATCAGTTAATTCCGAAGCCTGTAGCGGCTGACGACACCAATCCAGTGTTGGTTTCGTGTTCTTCTTTGGCGTCCCGCATGGTGCTGTTGTCTAGCCACACCTATTTAAACATGCTTGTCGTGTAGCACGGCCTGTTCAGAATCGGAAACCTAAGGGCTAAGATGTCTTCAAGCTCCCCCGCCTCTTCCTCCAATCTACCCCCAGCCAAGCAAAAAACATGCTCAGCCCCCCCCCCCCCCCCCCCCGCAGCCCCCGGCGTACCCATTTCAATTTGACTGGAAATGATAGATACATAAATATAATATTCGTTAGCCATTCGGCACAAATTATCATTATTAATAATATTACTATAATATTACTATTACAATTGTTTTTTTTGTCTCTTGAGAGCGGACCCTCACCCCCGGAAAATATATGAGGTTTCCCATTCACCCCACCCCTCCCCTCGGAAAATATGCGAGGCGTCCCATCAACCCCACCCCTCACCCCGAAGAATATGTGAGGCGTCCCATCCACCCCACCCCTCACCCCGGAAAATATGTGAGGCGTCCCATCAACCCCACCCCTCCCCCCGGAAAATATGTGAGGCGTCCCATCAACCCCACCCCTCACCCCGAAGAATATGTGAGGCGTCCCATCCACCCCACCCCTCACCCCGGAAAATATGTGAGGCGTCCCATCAACCCCACCCCTCCCCCCGGAAAATATGTGAGGCGTCCCATCAACCCCACCCCTCCCTCCTGGAAAATATGTGAGGCGTCCCATCAACCCCACCCCGCCCCCCGGAAAATATGTGAGGCGTCCCATCAAACCCAACCCTCCCCCCCGGAAATTATGTGAGGCGTCCCATCAACCCCACCCCTCCCCCCCCCCTGGAAAATATTGAGGTGTCCCATCAACCCCACCCCTCCCCCCGGAAAATATGTGAGGCGTCTCATCATCCCCACCCCTCACCCAGGAAAATATGTGAGGCGTCCCATCAACCCCACCCCTCCCCCCTCCATGAAAATATGTGAGGCGTCCCATCAACCCCACCGCTCCCCCCGGAAAATATGTGAGGTCTCCCATCAACCCCACTCCTCCCCCCCCCCGGAAAATATGTGAGGCGTCCCATCAACCCCACCCCTCCCCCCCCCGGAAATATTGAGGCGTCCCATCCACCCCTCCCCCCCCCCTGGAAAATATGTGAGGCGTCCCATTCACCCCTCCCCCCGGAAAATATGTGAGGCGTCCCATCCAACCCACCCCTCCCCCGGGTCTCGCGAGTGTTATTTGCTCCTGTTTTTCCGATAGCAAGAGTTGTGTGTTCGTGTGTATGTGCGTGTGCATGTGTGACAGTGCTCTGCTCTGTTTTGAATAGACTTATAATAATCAGTGCTGTGTACGTGTGTGTGCGTGAGTGTGCGTGAGTGTGCGTGAGTGTGTGTGTGTGTGTGTGTGTGTATGAGTGTGTATATGTTAATGCTCTGTTCTGCATAGACTTGAATAAACTCTGTTGTGTGTTTATCTGTCTGAGTGCATATATGTGTAAGTGTGGTCGTGGGTGTGGTCGTTGGTGTGGTCGTTGGTGTGTGTGATAGTAATACCATAACATGTGGTGTGTTTGTGTGTGTGTGTTATGTGTGTATGCATGTGTGCATGTGGTTTTGTGAAAATGTGTGTCACGTGCGTGTGCGAGTGTGTTCATGTTTAATGGATTTATCATATCAGTGTTGTATGCGTGTGTGTGTGTGTGTGTGTGCGTGTGTGTGTGTTTGAATCTTTATTTGTGTGTTATGAGTCTCTATGCTCGTGTGTTTGTGTAAGTGTGTATGTATGTGCGTGTGGTCGTGCCGGTGTGTGATGGACTTACCATACTTAGTGTTCTGAAAGCATGCACGTTGCTGGCGGTGTATAGAGGGCTGGAAAAGTGGGCACGTCCTTGAGTGTCAAAGTAGAGCTCATTTGTTCTCAGGATGACGTAGTCCAACTTTCTACAGGTGGAAGTGAGCACGGTCATAAAGAAGGTTGCAACACAGAAAGAAACACTTGAAAAGGAAATCTAATCATTACAACAGAAGTACTATCTGAACATCGACATGACAGACAATGATACAGGAACATCTACATGGCAGACAATGATACTGGAACATCTACATGGCAGACAATGATACTGGAACGTCTACATAACAGAAATGATACTAGAACATCTACATGGCAGACAATGATACTGGAACATCTACATGGCAGACAATGATACTAAAACATCTACATGGCAGACAATGATACTAAAACATCTACATGGCAGACAATGATACTGGAACATCTACATGGCAGACAATGATATTGAGACGTCTATATAACAGAAATGATACTAGAACTTCTACATGGCAGACAATGATACTGGAACGTTTACATACCAGAAATGATACTAGGACATCTACATGGCAGACAATGATACTAGAACATCTACATGGCAGACAATGATTCTGGAACGTTTACTTAACAGAAATGATACTAGAACATCTACATGGCAGACAAAGATACTAGAACATCCACATGACCGAAATGATACTGGAACATCCACATAACAGAAATGATACTAAAACATTTATATGGCAGATAATGATACTAGAACAGCTACATGGCAGACAATGATACTGGAACGTTTACATGACAGAAATGATACTAGAACATCTACATGGCATACAATGATACTAGAACATCCACATGACAGAAATGATACTAGAACTTCTACATGGCAGACAATGATACTAGAACATCCACATGACAGAAATGATACTAGAACCCCTACATGGCAGACAATGATACCAAAACACCTAAGCGACAATGATTTTTGTGTCCTTGATTTTACAGACATCCCACACGAACATCTACATGGCAGACAATGATACTTTAACATCTCCATGACAGTCAGGGACTAAAGAACATGACCATGACATAAATGATACTCTGACATCAAAAAGACAAACAATGATACCAACACATCTACATGAATAAATATGAAAATAGAACATCTAGATGATAAACAATAATCACACACCATCTATTTGACAGAAATAATGGTTTTGAAACAGGTACAATAATAGAAAGTATTTTAAAATATCGACAATAAAAAATAACATGCTAATATATCGACATGATAAACAATGATTTGATTCGAATATCGACTTACCCTGCCATTGTGTTGATGTCATATCCGAGGGTTATTATTTCTTCAATTCCGGAACCAGTTGCAGTCAATATTAACTTGGAGTCCGATACGTCTGCATCAAATTTTTCTCGCAAAATCTAGAAAACTCAGTTCGGATATTGTTAGCAAAGTAAGACAAAACAAAGTAAAGTAATACAAAAGTAAGTGTGAAATCAATGTAATGTGTTTAGGCAACTCATGATACGATCATTGATTACTTTATGTCTGACAAACACTGGCTGGCCTCTTTTCTCTTATTCTCCTGCTTCTTCCATGCTTTTCAGCGTTTCTTCTTCTTTTCTCTTACTGCTCATGTTGGGAAGAGTGACAGAGAGTAGTTAGATGTTATGCCGGTGTGTTGGGAAATGAGCAGGTGGATAGACTGGTCGGTTCTGCACCACTTGGTGACGAACTGATGTATGACAAGCTGGATGTTGTAAGGGCCCTTTGGGAGCGAGTGAACAGTGCCGAGGCACAGATAGAGATCATTACGGTCTGAGGAGAATGGCGCTGCGAGGAGTTACAAGGAGGTTTGGCCGACGTTCAACACTCAGGGAAAAGGCGAGTCGGATATACAGACAATTACTTGAACCATGGGAACGGGAACTCTTCGATTGTTGCTGAAGATGTTTACGGCGCGTTTTTATGGGTGTACCGAGTGTGTGATGTCGATTCCTAATTTAACAATAATTCAATACAGTTAGATGTACTTTATGTATTATGCGAATTACACAGACTGCTTCGTTATATTGTGTTTATTTATAATGTTCCCTTTTACTTCCTCCGCCCATCTCCTTCCGGATCAGCCTCTGCTTGTAACCTGCTATTCTCATGTAGTAGGCTCCACAAACTGACTGATATTGTTCCATTTCTACCAAAGGACCAAACTATTTGATTCTGTAATGTTCTTTGAAATCATTTACAGAGAAAGACCGGTCAGAGGATTGTGGAAGCAGAGTGTCCCCATCACTATCAAGAATGCTACAACTAGGAGTAGGTGTCGGTATTGCCATACATGAGAAGCACACCGGACGCAGAGGAAATTTGATTAACCAGCATGGGACTGGCACTATTAACAGCGGCAAACTGATGTGTATGTTGAAGCGGAAATCTGAGCACCTATAGACTTGTACGGAGTGCACTGAAGATAACCAAACTCATAACTCATACCTCAATAGTCTTCTCTAAAGTGGATGTGAACCCAGACCGTCTCACCGGAAGGCTGGATTGTAGGGAAGACACTGTTATGACCCCAGGATATCTAAGGACATTGCGCAAACTGTGTAACAGCGACCATACCAGCTGGGATTGCCGTAGATACAAACTGTGTAACAGCGAGCATACCAGCTGGGATTGCCGTAGATACAAACTGTATAACAGCGAGCATACCAGCTGGAATTGTCGTAGCTAAGTGACTATATCGTTTCATCACCATCATCATGTTGCAGCGTAATACATCACACATGTCTCTGGGTGCAGTCTTCCACTAAGTTCCATCTTCCCGATATATATGTGTGGATTCATCCGAGCTCCCCTGACGCCTCTCATCATCGGGGCCTCAGGACTTTTCATTCCTCGTGTCTTCATTACAATGTTTCCCCATTACAGTGCCTATTAATAGCGCTTGCACTGCGTTAAAATGTAGACCTCAGGGTCACCAGAACACATTGAGCCACCCCCCCCCCTTTCCCCGAGCAGCCGAATAAAATTTTTTTTTGCTCGCTTGCCACCCCTACCCCCCCCCCCCCCCCGCTTTCCTCCACCCCCAGAAACATTGTGAGCAAAGTGCCCGCTCTTAACAATGTATAGAAATTGGCATACTATTATTATTTCACATGAATGATTAGATCCATTTGCAAGTCAGAACATTATTATTACTATTAATAACTCAAACTAGGCTTAGGTCTCCATAACCCCCCCCCCCCCCATTTCAACCCCGCTAGCCGCACAAACGTTTTTATTGTGTCCACGTTGCTGCAGAATACAACCCTTACCGTGAGAAGTCTAGCGTGGGTGTTCTTGGCTGTCTCGGTATAGGTTGCCCAGTCAACCTCCAGACCATCGAATCCACGCATTCGTAGGAACGGGACAACAGACAAGGCAACTCCCTGGAGAATCATGTCGTTGCGTCCCATGGACTCTAACTGTCGAACGGCTTCAATGCCAGGCCCTCCCAAAGACAGCATTGTCTTAATAGAAGGGAACCTGATCTTGGCAGTCACAAACTGCCTGCAGATGGGGAAAAAAAGTCTTTGGCAAAGATGTTCTTCACTTCAAGAACATGAAGTGTTGATACTATCAGTACTGTCAAATTATCCTGGCAAATACATGTCTGCAATACTTATCAGTTCCGCTCCTTTATTAGCTTTTAATTACGGCACGTTCAATACAATGTTTTTACCAACGCTATACTATAAATGTCAATCATGGACACTGTCTTTAGAAGACAGTAGGAAAATTGTCACGACAGAAATGAAATGTTAAACTACTATGCTAGATATAACCAGGAAAGATCGACTATTGAACGATGATATAAGGAGGAGATTCGGCACAGAACCAATACTGAACTCTACATGTAGACAATATATCAAATGGTTTGGCCATGTAACTAGACTGCCATCAGACAGGGCCACACAGACAGCAGTGTTACACCGATACAGCGGTAACAGAGCAAGAGGTCGAAAACGCAAAAGTGGACTGCAGAAATATCGGAGACACTGAAAATACTTTATATAAATCGAACAGATGAGCCCGCACAGAGATCTCTTCCTTCCCCAGGCGCTGCGAGGCATTCCAGGAGGAGAGAAAAGAAGAAGAAGAATTCGGGCATGCCCAGGTGTGTAGATCCACGTGAGGGAAGTTAAGTGCTCTTTCGGAATGCTCTCTATCCATACAGAGGTAAGGTTTTCTGCTATGATTTTCTGAAGCGTGTTCATGGAGTTTGATATAATTACCGCGTTTTACGTAAAATAAAAAAGTAAAGGACCCTTTTCCACGCCTTTGGGCGTATAGGGCATATAGGGCTAGACCTATATTTTATAGACCAATCGGCACTAGATGGGTGATATGGTCAGCATCACGCCGGCCGCCTTTACTTTCCGGGACTGCACCCAGTACCCACTCAAGTCTGACTAGACCTGGGAGCTAAGGTCATTTTTGAAGAAAAGTCCGGCTCCGCCAGGGAGGGAACACACAACCTTCCGATCCGCTGCGAGCTTAAGGCCACTCTGCCATGGCGACCCCCTTTACGTATGTTAATGTATATAAATCTCCCCCCCCCCCCCCTCTGCTCCTGGCTCCCTATTAGTATCTTCACAGTTACTAGCTTGATACTGCTGGTCCAGGTCCCACCTGGGGGTAGTGTCAGTGGTTGATTATGGCCTGGGACTGCTTACCGTCTCAAAGAGACAGGAGGACAATCTAGAGCACACACAGAACGCGGCTACGAGGGTCATTCTAGGATTTACCAGAGACACCCCAGCGGTGTGTATGCGCTACATCTTTGGTTTGCAGACTGTTGCAGGTAGGTGCACAAGGTGCTGCAGGCGAAGTCATATCTCACATAGACCCCCCTTTGCACGAAGATATGGCCGCATTCAAGGGTCAGAGGCTGATAAGAGGGAAGTCATGGATGACTCAGTCAGAAAACACAATCAGACAGGTTTACATCCTTGAGAATATTAGGAGAGGAGAGGAGTGGGTCAAAGTGCTTACTGAACAGTCAGACTTGTGTAGGGTCATGATCACACTGAGATAGGAATGCAGAGAATTCTGCAATTAATTCACGATAATGCTCGTTAAGATGATTTTATTATTTTTCTTAGCAAAAGTTAATGGTCGACGTTTGGCGCAGGAGAGCCTAGCATATGATACCACAACATCCAGCTTTAAAATGGAGGTGGAGGCGGTCACTGCAGCTTTCCGCTGGCTAGAGAACACGACACACACACACACACACACACACACACACACACACACACACACACACACACACACACACATCGTGATTGTAACTGACTCAGAAAGCATGCTGAGGAAGATCAGGCCAGGCATGCTTCACTGGAGGACATGGGTGGGTTTTTTGTGTGTGGAGATTTTTTCACCAGGAAATGAACAGACGGAGAGACCGGCTGGCTCCGCACAACTTGGTGGAATACTGATGCATGATGAGGCAGACGTGGTTAGTGCCTTGTAGGAGAGCGTGTACATTTCGGAGGAGCAGATGGATCACCACAGTCTGGTGAGATTGATGCGGGGGGGGGGGGGGGGGAGTACCGAGAGGTTCTGGCAGATGCTTGAGGCTCAGAGGAAAGGAAACGACGGACGTTTAATTAGAATGCTTCTGGCATCATTGGTATCTGAACTCTTCGCTGGCTGCTGAAGATTGGGACAGGGCGCTTATGGGAATGCCCCGAGTGCTGTGATGTCTGTTCTTTAATCAAATCAACTCAACTCATATGTAACTTTACCTGTATAGCCCTGTTGGTTCCTATTACGATCCTCACAGTTATATGTAACTTTACCTGTATAGCCCTGTGGGTTCCTGTTACGATCCTTACAGTTATATGTAACTTCACCTGTATAGTCCGTCGGTTCCCTCCTCTGTGGTTGGATCCTGGGCAACAATTGTCCTGGAGATGTTGTCAATTTGCGCGTACCCATAAACGTAGTGCGTGCACAGTGTATAGTCGATATCGGCGATCTGAAACTTGGCGATGTTGGTTCTGAGAGTGGCTGTTCTTCGAAAGTAGCAGAATCGTAAGGAAGCCACAGGCCACCCTGTGGATGCAACCACGAAATTTGTATGTTTCTGAAAGGCTTGTGAATACCATGGAGGTTCTTTTCCTTTAATTCACCTCATCTCGAGTTCTCCGAGATTTGATGGTCAGGTCTCGGGAAAGTCCAATACCAAGTATTAGGGTATGAAGTGAACACTAGCTAACACCAGCCCTAAACTCCCCCCTTAACCCTCGTAACACTGGACTTTTCCGCGAATTCCCTTCTGTGTCTCAGCGGTAGGGTGAACTAAAAGAAAAGCGCCACCCTGGACAGGCAGAGCCATTGACAACGACTGCTCTGAAAACGCTAAAGAAATTGTAAACTACATACAATAATATAAAACAAGCCCGCCAATGTTCTTTGCCATGTTATGAGACAAGAAGAGAGAACTTCGAGACCATTGGGATGTCTGTGAACATCGACAGTAGAAGAGGCAGACCCATAGGGAAGAAAAAGTAAAGAACCTTTTTTTCACGCTTTAAGGCGTATTGGGCATATAGGGCTAGACTATATTATACAGATTACCTGCCGTTTAGAAGGGCACACGACGATTATCTGTGCTTGAGGGACATGTGGTCAAAATGCGGATAGCATGCTTGACTGTCGAGTGTGCTGGGTCTTAAACATGATCTGGGATACAGACGCGCCAAAAACTTCGGGAGTTCTTGATGTGAGGGGAGGAGGAAGGGACGGATAAGGAACTCAAACCCGTGAGCATATCCTTGGGGTCCACTTTGTAATGGGGTGAATTCTCATGGGAATTACACATAGCTCCCAAATGAGGGACTAGGTCAAGTGGCCAGTGAAACGAGAGAAAATGGAGGAAAGCATGTCTCGATTCTCCCGCGTTGTGTGAAAGGAGGTACGGGAAAAGCATGAGACTGGAACGGGAGGTTTGAACAAAGAGATTATGTAGAGTCGGTTGTGTTTTGAATGCGTGAAAGGAAGGTTGCTTGATGATACTAGTGAGGTGAATGTCTTTGTGAAACTGGAGGACCAGAGTTTTAAAAGCTCGGGTGCCTGAGAAGAGTTGAATCTGAGTGGCAATGTCTAGTGTTATGTGAACATTTGTGTTAGGATAATTTAGATGTCATTAACTGTTCTAATGGAACTTCCTGACTGACCGGTAACTGCAACCATTGTTGTGCAACAGTCCACCGTGTCGTGAAAGGCTGTCGTGAGCACATGTCAACAACTATGGAGAACTTTGGACATCGACGGAATGATTTATTGTTGTACCACAACAAACGAAGCAACGTTATTATCTTGCTTGGAATATACGTTTGTGTTCAGACTTTATGGCTTAAGTGAGGCACGCGTAAAAGCAAACAATTAGAACGAGTCAACAGCATTGTTGCCCTAACAAAAACATTGTTACACTCTTGCATAGTAAAATAGTGCGTAATAAACACAACAACACTAGCAATAAGAATGATCCCATGTGTGGGTTTCGCGATGCATTACGGGCTGAACAGGAATACACCCACTCCCCCACCCGCATGCTGGAACATTATGAGCAGCTGTTTGTGATCCATGTCCATTGCTGCCATAATCTAGAGTTGAATCCCTTTTGACAGTTTCCCGCAACTGACTCCACATGATCCCTGAAGGCAGAATTCAATCTAAAGTGATACCCAGGTACCTACATTTGCCCACTCTTGAGATATTTCTGTCATTAATAGATACAGGGAAATATGCCAGGCAACAATTTGTGCAATCTATTGTTTGTGTCTTATGATGTTTCAATTCTATTGTCGAGGACCATAATTTGGCCGCCTTTTCGGGGTTGATGACAACGGCCAGATCTGTGGACCACCTATTGTCTGTAGCTCTTGAGCTGTCAGTCGTCTGCCTGCCTGTAGGCAAGAACATCATCGGCCAATGTCAATATCCTTCCAACACCTGGTGTTTCAAATTCTGCAATCCTGCTTGCATACATGTTGCAGTGTAACAGCAGAAGTCTGTGGTAGTCCCAGGGCAAGATTGCGTGGTTCTATGTACACCTGCAGGATGGCAACGACATGTGAACGTGGCACAACGGTTATCTGGTTCATCGCCCAGCAACAGATCCACATCTCCATAAGAGCAGAGATGAATATGTTATATCTGACGCTATTTTAGGCATCCTCAAGATCAAGTCTATTTTATAACCCATCAAAAGCAACAGTGGCTGCACTTGACCAGGTATCTTTTCCTGGCCGGTAACTGCCCATACCTCTTGGCAGCAGTTCTTCTCCTTCTAACAATGTTTGCAGCTTAACGTGTGCGTGTAACAAGATATAATTCTTTTAAAGATATCTTAAAAATATAGTCACAAAGATGTTTTGTCGTCTCAAATCAGCGTCTAGGTATTGTGCTTTTATTTTAAGGCAAGTAGATTGACTTCTGACAGCAAAGCGGAAATAGTTTTTGCTGTAAAATGTTACGTGACTACAAGTGACCACGATAAGGGTTGGGCACCGACTTGCTTGACTGCACTAGAGACTGTGATGTGAACTTTTTTTTTTTTTTAAAGCGGCTCGCTTTTGTCTGCTTCCCCGTGGAGAGCAGCCTAACAAATGATTTAATGAATGCAGTGATCTCCTGCTGCCAATTGCCAGGCTGTTCTCATTCTCACTGTGTATGGCTATGCGCACAAACGTTAAGTCAATGAACGTGTGACAGCTGCAGCTGTGTTCGATTCTCTCCTGGGTTACATTTGTGTGGTTCGACAGCAACGAACCTGAAATTACTTAACTCAGTAGAATACTGGTCTTGTGTAACAGCCGCTGTTGAGACAACTGCTGGTGTTGAGATAACTGCTGGTGTTGAGACAACTGCTGGTGTTGAGACAACTGCTGGTGTTGAGACAACTGCTGGTGTTGAGACAACTGCTGGTGTTGAGACAACTGCTGGTGTTGAGACAACTGCTGGTCTTGAGACAACTGCTGCTGTTGAGATAACTGGTGAGTTGCTCCATGTTGTTTCCTAAAGGAACGAATGAGTGAATGAACGAGTCAAAGTTAAGAAGCAGAAGATAAAGACAATAATGATAATGTCACGGATGATGACTATGTTGCTTTCATGACTCTGATTTCTCTCCATGTTCATACATTGTAGTTTCACAAACAGCAAAATGCTGAACACATTAAAATACTTACAATAGTTCAGAATAATGAACAGGACATAAAGTGGGAGATATGTGAATGTCCGCTGCAAGTTCGGCCAGAAATGAAACCTGATGAACTGAGTGCAAACACGCGATGACATCATTTCCTGTTGAAATCAGAAAAAAAAATTAAAAGTTTACATCATTGACATGACAGGATCATGGTGCTTAACTCACAGCTGGCTTGAACAGACCAGTCGGTAGTCACTGGTTAATGTGACGAACATCACTTTTACCTGTTCTCTGGTCACGGTTCTGCAGTCACTGGGTGATGTGACGAACATCACTTCTACTTTCTCTCTAGTCATAGCTCGGCAGTCACTGGGTGATGTGACAAACATCACTTCTACTTTCTCTCTAGTGCCGGTTCTGCAGTCACTGGTTGATGTGACGAACATCACTTCTAATTTCTCTCTAGTCCCGGTTCTGCTGGTTGATGTGACGAACATTACTTCTACTTGCTCTCTAGTCCCAGTTCTGCAGTCACTGGGTGATGTGACGAATATTACTTCTACTTGCTCTCTAGTCCCAGTTCTGCAGTTACTGGGTGATGTGACGAACATTACTTCTACTTGCTCTCTAGTGCCGGTTCTGCTGTCACTGGGTGATGTGACGAACATCACTTCTACTTCCTCTCTAGTGCCGGTTCTGCTGTCACTGGGTGATGTGACGAACGTTACTTCTACTTGCTCTCTAGTGCCGGTTCTGCTGTCACTGGGTGATGTGACGAACATTACTTCTATTTTCTCTCTAGTCACGATCTGCATTCACTGGGTGATGTGACGAACATCACGTCTATCTCTTATCTAGTCACAGGTAATGTCTTTGATCCACCAGGTTTTTGCGAGGCATTCGAAGCGAGCGTTAGGGATTGCAATGTAAATGCTTTAGAACTACTGTATCCTCCCAGCATGTCGTAAGAGGCAACTTAGAGGTCTTGGACGTAAGGCCAGAAACCTCATACAGTTAAAAAAAAAGATAACCGCTACAGAAACAGAAACAAACATAAACATAAATACTCATGGAGATCCAGATGTCATAGATGTTGGTGACAGGATAGCTGTCAGTGATGAAAGACTGGGAGAAAGTACGCGGGGAAACCCAACCCCGACGACCTGCTTCTTGGCGCCCAGGAATACAGGGAGAAAGAGGCACCCTCAGAAGCACTTGGAGGCGAACCCTTTAGGCTGAACTCAGGACTATGCGAAGGACAAAACTTAGGATATAGAGATTGGCTCAGAATCGAATCGAGTGGCGACAGTTCGTCTCTGCCTTATGTTCCTCTGTCGCGATGAGGATTGATTAATGTAGATGCTGGTATTTATGACTTTGCATATTCCATCTATCAAAAGATAGCGTGGTCTACCTCAATTACTACTTCCATGGTGTCTAAGTGACAGGGTTCTCTGGTGTGGTCTATCTGGTGTCTAAGTGACAGGGCTCTCTGGTGTGCTCTATCTGGTGTCTAAGTGACAGGGCTCTCTGGTGTGCTCTATCTGGTGTCTAAGTGACAGGGCTCTCTGGTGTGCTCTATCTGGTGTCTAAGTGACAGGGCTCTCTGGTGTGCTCTATCTGGTGTCTAAGTGACAGGGCTCTCTGGTGTGCTCTATCTGGTGTCTAAGTGACAGGGCTCTCTGGTGTGCTCTATCTGGTGTCTAAGTGACAGGGCTCTCTGGTGTGCTCTATCTGGTGTCTAAGTGACAGGGCTCTCTGGTGTGCTCTATCTGGTGTCTAAGTGACAGGGCTCTCTGGTGTGCTCTATCTGGTGTCTAAGTGACAGGGCTCTCTGGTGTGCTCTATCTGGTGTCTAAGTGACAGGGCTCTCTGGTGTGCTCTATCTGGTGTCTAAGTG